AAGTATATATATTCTTGATCATATATATATTCTTGAACAAGCTGAGTCGATCTAGTTGCCTCTCTCAAACACTTGTCTGCCAAATTATACGATTCACCCTCGCTTTATGCATTCACATGCAAGTGCATATTTTGATAGCTTTGGCTTTCTTGATTTTCGTTTTTCTCTTAGCATTGCAACAACTTGTGGCAACGATGAGGCAAAAAAATTGTGCCAAAGTTGTATTTATTTCGGCAGATTCCCAAACTCTCCAGCCTTGGGGCTGCACCTTGTTTTGAGCTGGGCTTTAATTTGGGGACGCGCTCAGAAAATGAATGCAAAAGAAAAGCCTTATGCAAGCGACGTTCCAAGATTTGCAGCACCTTATCTTTGTCTTAGCCATGTCAATCAGGTGGCGACTCACCTAGACGTTGATGCAGTGCAGCCTGCACACCTTTGACCCGGCCTAGTCAGACGTACAGACAGGCAGACCGGCAGAGCGACAGACAGGCACCTAGTCAGAGACCCTTAAACTTGCTAAAATGTTTTAGCCTGGCCACAAGTTATAAGTTAATTACATTCATTAAGCCGTATTGTTTTAAGGAATTCATCAATTCATTCCAAATTCAGTTCAGTTGAGTGTGAGCCAGCCTCATTCCCGACTATGTCTAACGTTCATTTCAATGAGTTTATTGTGAGTAGCAGATAAATAAATATTATCCATGTAAAGGTATAGAGATCAAGACTCACACTTATTGCTATTATATGTACTCTTTACTGATGCAGTCAAAAATAAACAAAAGAAAGTAAAAATATCCTCAGGTAATAATCCACGTGCATATTAAATGCAAATTTCTTATGTGGTCTTCACTTACGTTTTTTTTTATTATTATTACTGCTCTGACAAGTACATATTTTTCGGTTGGGGACCTAGAACTGGTTAGCAGCGGTAAATCCAAGTGCCACGCATTCGAATCTCATATTCTCAAATGATATAACACTCCAATTTCAATTAAACCAGTTTCTAGATGCTGCATCTGCCCGCCTATCGCCCAACTGGTGACCAGCTAACCAGATAGCCAGCTAAACGGTAAATCTTTTATTAGAATTTCATGCAAATTTGGAAGAGACACAAATCGTAGTCCAAACGCGGGCTGCAGCTAAGTTTTATGAATCCGCTTTTGCATAATTCGCGACGTTGGGCAGCTTGAAGTCTCAGCTGATGATGACCAATGCAGTAGCCTTCTCTCAGCTCCGACGACACTCAGTGCTGGCAAGTGGCAGAGCCAATGTGTTAGCCAATAAGCTCGAGGGGAGACTCATGCTGAGAGAGTGAGAGAGAGAGGCAAGGGTGAGTGGGGCGCTTGGTTGAGATGCGCTTACGCGCTTATAAAATGACTTCGATCCATTCAAACGGCCTGCTCCGGCTCCGGCTCCGGCTCTGGCGCTGACTGAAATGTCCAAGATGGCCTTCGAACATTTTTGCAACGATTAAAAAACGATGACGCCGATTGCGATGTCGCTGGTTGACTTCGATGCAGTCTCTGTCTCGTGGCTTACTTAGCATTTAATGTGGCACAAAAAGATGTTTATGAATTGCTGCGATACATTTATTGTTAATTTCTATTTTAGTTAAGCTGCGAGTCTGTTTACTCATGTCAGAAGATCTCTCTTGGCAATCACACTTGTGCTTTATATATTTATAGAGTTTCTGCATTTCGTTACATTAATGTAGATTGTGTCAAGAAGAGCTTTAAACTGTGGCAACATAACATTAATACACAACTCTTTGTAATTGTCACTGTGCATCAGATCGTCCTATAATGAGGTATCCAGTTTCAGCAAATCGGTTTCTGTGAATTGCTTTCACTTATTTTAAAATATAATACATAATAAGTAAAAAAAACCAAGTTTTAAGTTTCTGTTTCCTGCGTTAACTTTAATATTCTAATAAATGTATATTTAATTTTCAAGTTTGCTTTAATGCAATTATTATTAAGCTTAGGGAAGAAATGCAATAGTTGCAGATATTTATGACAAGTTAGTTCGATCGAGAGTTGAAATTTATAATAACGAGGCTTATTTGGTCTTTCGTTTAATCGCTCCTTAGAAGCAGACAATTTGTTCGTTATTCGATTTCCCAGCTTTAGCGTGATATAATAGAAGCGTATGGCCAAGCACTGACTCGAAGACGAGAGTCAATTAGAGCTGGAACGAAAACAATGTAGCATAATACGGCAGATGCGATTGCATAAATCAATCAAATTGTCTCTCACTCGAGAGCATTGAGTAATAGATACAGTTTCGATATGAGCTTCACAGAAATTGGGTTTTTTGCTCAGCTATAAATACCAACCCCATTACCCATTGCCCATTAAGTATTGCATTTTGTGCAGCATCAGAGCCAACAATAAAAAGCTATCGATGAAAATCGACAATTAATAGTGAAAGTCTGAACAAGTACCCATGCCCAGAGCCCGAGACAGAGGCAGAGCCATAGACAGAGCCAGACCAACAATGGGGCAGACGAACGGCTTCAACGTCATCATCAAAGGTACTGCAGGAAGTTTGTGGCCTGTGCGCAGGTCTATGCTAGAGTCTATTGGGCCAAGCGATTCCGTTGTCGTGGATTTCAAAGGCGATAGCATCGACGCCTCCGCCATGCCCCTGCCAAACCTGTAGTAGCTTCAACAGCAGCCTCAGCAACAGGCACAGCAACAGCAACAGCCACAGCAACAGCAAAAGCAACAGCCACAGCAGACAAAGTGACTAACTCCTTGGCCCAAACCTGAAATCCATTTGTATACTTCTCACAAAACTTCACACGAAAACGAGAGCCCAAGTGCCTGAGATGTCTGATTTCTGCACCCACTGACTCAATGACTGAATGCCAGTGCTGGCCAAAGCTGGCCAGAGCGTTACCAAGTCGCCTGACCCGTGTAGCATGCCAAAGACGTCGACCACGGCGCATTACCATTTCTTTGGGTCACTGCGCAAGCTTGTCCGTCCGTTCCTGTCTTGAAGTCTATCTTGGGCTTTGTCTGTCAGACTAGGCAGATGCATACATATGTCCATGTCCATTGATCAGACAAAGCCAGAGCCACAGCCACAGTCAGAGCCACAGCCACAGCCACAGCGTGCAGTGGAGTTCGCAGTTCAAAGTACACTCAAAGCTTGCAAAATAATATGTATTAACAAACTTATATAAAAAAGAAAAAAATTAGCCGGGTTATGCAACGCGAAGAAGACACGAGAAAACGAAACGACTTGCGCTTAGTCCGCCTCTGCTGGCCTTTATAATAAATTTGTGAACCAGCTCTTAATGATTGTGAATACAGGACCCGAAATGAGTAAATTTTAATGTTGTTTATCACTCACTCACACACACACACGCACGCAAATCTAGTCTAGTCTGGCCTACTATCGTCCAGGCTGAATGAATACTTCAAGATGCGGCTGCATCCATAGAGCCCAACCCAAAGCTGATGCCAGAGAAACATGTTCGGCAATAAAAACAATGGCACATTGTTATGCTCAATGAATATTGGAGGCTCTTCCCGGTAGCTTTTTTCTACAGTAGCCCACGGTAGTTTTTGAGCTATTTGTTGTTGTCTTTGAGGCTTGAGTTGGCTGGCTCAAAGGGTATCGATCAATGGCTTTCTAAATGACCCACGGCTAAGCAACAGTGCAATGATATTTAATTTCCATTTGAATTCTTCGCCCATTGTCTTACACTCGAATAGATCTGTAAAGAGATTGCGCATGCTCTAAAGAGACTATAAATAAATATGATATTGAAGAAACTTATTCAGATTCGCGTTGCCTAAATGATTTCAGATTGACAGCATTCATATATTTCCATCTTTAAAAGAGTATAGGGAATAATAATTGAAAATGTTTCACCTCGGAAGCTAACATTTATTTCCTCACTTTGAAGCGCCCTTGAAACCTACTAGAATACTTGGTCAGTTAGTGGTCTTTGATCCGAATGAATAACTTGTGTTCTATGCACTCTGTTAATAAAGTCTGATCGTATATATGACATGTATTTGCATTAAAAGATTATCAGCTGAAAATTGAATTCAATTCAATATTATAAAATATAGGACTGGAAAAATTCCGAAATGGTCTAATCCAGTTTTCCAAAAAGGTTTGATTTTGTGCCCGATTTCTTCGAGCTCTGAATAAAACGTTAGTTGTCATAGAGTTGGATAGTGTCGAAAGAGATCTACAAGTCTAAAAGTAAAAAGCTTTTAATACTTTAGGGTAACTTAACAATCGCCAGCTAATCAAGAGTTTTGTAAAATAATAAACAATTTTTGGAAACAAATATGAAAATTGGCAACAACGACAGTTGCAGCGAACACCAAAACGAGACGTCCAAGAGCCGTTTTGCAATTCGAATAAGCCATATTATTTATTTTAATCAAAAGCAAACACCCGCCAAGGGGGTCGCCATCGTGGTCGAGGTGCTGCAGCGGACAGCATAATTTATTTCATTTAATGTGCTGCATTAGCCATGAGATTCGGATGCGATCCTCGGCTTGCCAGACTCCAACACGGCTGCCGCATCCCCGCAACATGAGCTTGGCTCTTGCCAACCGGCGACAGGCGACCGGCCTCCGAGATCCGACCTCCGACCTCCGACCTCCGACCTCCTTCCTTGTCGTCCCACACAGTAGAGTCTTGCATAGGGCAACCCGAGCTGAGACTTACATTGGCATTTCTAATTATGACATTCGATACGGTTGTTTGCGTGTGGAACGCAAGACAATTGAGAAACCTCGTCTCCAAATGCTTGCCGTATGCATGTGTCTGTGTATCTGTGTATCTGTGTGACTGACAAAGTGACAAAAGCGCACGGCAGCATAAGGCAGCCACGCATGGCATAATAGAATAGACTATTGTGCCCCAGACACCACTTAACATTTACAAATTCACAAATTTGCAAATTTACAAATTCGCAGCGAAGCATATTAAATGCTAACACTTAATGGTTGTCCTTATTGAAATCCTTGCAGGTGCAGAAACAGAATCAACAGCAGCTGAATGTCGTGCCACGCCGCCTAAAAAATCAAGCGACCAAAGCGTCAAGCAAATCTCGAAAGGCGGCAACCGGAAGAACTTGAAAGCTGAAAGAATATCCCCAGTTAGATCGACAAAGGCAGACACTAAACCTATAGCTGCGACAACTGCAACAGCAACAGCAACAACAACAACAACTGCATCAACAACAACACCATCTGCAGCTTCAACTAAAAGCAGCCAACCGAGGCTCCATAATCAAGCGGTCACAAGCATGTTACTTCTGCAGCCCAATGTGAGTTCCCTTTCAAATTAACATCACACACATATATGTACTGCAAGATCAGAGAGAATAGGCATATAGCAACTATATGAGAGCTGAAATTGATAACTGAGCAGATGTTGTTCACTTTGCTAACCTTAACAAAATATGCTCTGTTGCAAAACAAATTTTTGGTCAATGGTTGCTTGATTACCAACTGTGAGGAGCTTATAGAGATAGAGGAGGCAAACCACCCAGCAACCAGAAACCAGCAACGACTGCCACAATAGCTCTCTAATTCAATGTTTTGAAATATGTTTCCTGGCAAACAGCGTCAAAGAAAGCGTCAGGCATGACAAATTAGAAAACAATGTTCTTTGCTAGCGAAATATGCCCGACTGTGCGCTACTCTCTAGTAAGGATTTTGTTAAAATTCGTTATTTATTCTCATAACTATATTTTGTACAGCATGTGTGTACACATCTTAGATTATTGGCATAAAATACTTACCAAGAGTAGCTTCATTAAACGTTAAAATCTTAGAGACAATTAATAAATGGGCTACAAACATAAAACACCAACCAAAACTGTCTTATTCACATTGGACTACATGCATAACCTGGAGAGAATACCCATGAAACCGTAAGAGAATCAGCTAGAATTATATTAATGCACTCGGTTCACACTCGTGAGCAGAGTAAAACAATTATATGGCTGTCTTGTTGATAGGGGTTGTAATCTGAGCACCAATCAGAGTCGACGGCAACATCGCGCATGTCTAACGGACGACTTGACTCCACCCTTCTCTAAAGCTAGAAGCTATCCTACGACTCAGCCTGCAGTCACTAATTCAGTCTATGTCGGACTTTCTTCAATTGCAGAGCTCCTTTAGTTCAATTTCGTCGTTCGACAACTTTTCAACGCAAGCCGTGGCAGCGACAACACCCACGTCTACGGTAGCTGCAGTCGGGTCTGGTGCCGGACATCATCACCACAATCGCCATCAATATCATCAGCAGCAATCATCACAGCAGCAGCAACACTTGCTTCCTCAGCAGCACCAGCAATTGCTGCTGCCCACGTCAAGCCAGGTGACATTGCTGTCTCATGAGGAGGATCAGCTGATTAGCAATCTTGCTGATGCAGCCGTTACGCATAGCGAGCTGTTCTCGGACTTATTTTTCCCATCGGACTCCAACAACTCGCTGCTATCGCCCGTTCTTGAGCAATCGGTCGCCAGCTATCCAGACACGAAGATTGATGTGCCCCCGTCCACTGAGACGCTGATTGGCAGCAGCGAGGACATCACCAGCTCCATTGAGAATCTGACCAAATTGACATGTCTGCGCGATAAGCGTTTACCCTCAACACAAGACCAGCAGGACGGCAGCGCAGGCTCTGAGCAGGATCATCATTCTATTTGCCTGCTCAGTCTTCGGTCCAGCAGCGATCCCGCTATCGCCCTTCACGCTCACCAGCAGCAGCAGCAGCACCAGTTGCTGCAACAACCACAAGTACAGGCCACCTATCTTCAGCGACACGGTAACAGCGACCTACTGATATCACCCATTGGGGGGCCTCTCTCATGCGGCAGTAGCCTACCCAGCTTCCAAGAGACCTACTCTCTCAAGTATAACAGTAGCAGCGCCAGCAGTCCTAAGGAGACCTCCCCTTCAGCCGCTGCCACGCCCTCCGATCAGATCTTAACTCTCAAGATGGACGAAGACTGTTTTGCGGACGTAATGGCTGACCTAAATACGGGCCCTGCTTCGGGGCAGTCACTGCACCAATTGCAATCTCTGCCGGTAAGGCCCAACAATACCAACAACAGCAGTAGTAATAGCAGTGGCTACAACTACCATGGTCACTTCAACGCCATCAATGGCACTTCCAATCCGTCACCCAGCTCATCAGCCAGCTCACTTTATGAATACAGCGGTGTGGGCCACAACGACAGTTTCTTTGGACAACAGCAGCAGCAGCAGCAGCAGCAACAGCAGCAAAGCTACCAGCACATGGTGAGTAGAAACCGCTTAGAATAACTATCCGTCAGCTACTTTAATGCGAATGTTTCGAATCCGCACAGAATTACAACTCGCACAATGGTGACCGCTATTCCTTGCCCACATTTCCCACTATCTCCGAGCTGGAGGCAGCCACGGCAGGAAGTAGCGTTGCCGCTGGTTCAGGCTTAGGCTCAGACTATGCTGTTGTTATTCCGCCCTTGCGACGAGCTTCGTTGCCTGTGCAGCGCTCCATCTCTCCCGCTACTGCTGCGCATTGCCCAAAGGTAGCAAAGTTGGCGCTGGTTGGTTCCAGAAACACTCATGCCATCAATGCCCTTCAGATACAACTAAGTTCGGCACCCAACTCCACTGCCACCTCTCCGGTGAGCGGTGGCGGCGCTGAGTTCCTTCACAGCCAGTCGGGACGTTTGCTTCAGTCGACCAACTCCTCGCAGTTGTGCGCCGTGTGCGGAGATACGGCTGCCTGTCAGCATTACGGGGTAAGAACCTGCGAAGGCTGCAAAGGATTCTTCAAGCGCACCGTGCAAAAGGGTTCCAAGTATGTCTGCCTGGCGGATAAGAGCTGCCCGGTAGACAAACGAAGGCGGAATCGTTGCCAGTTTTGTCGATTCCAAAAGTGCCTGGTGGTGGGTATGGTGAAGGAAGTAGTGCGCACGGACTCCTTGAAAGGCCGCCGTGGACGTCTGCCGTCAAAGCCAAAGTCGCCGCAGGAGTCGCCACCATCCCCGCCCATTTCGTTAATAACAGCTCTGGTACGAAGTCACGTGGATACAACACCAGATCCCTCATGCCTGGACTATTCGCACTACGAGGAGCCGTTCGATTCGTTGACTCCGCCCACTGTAGGGAGTGCATTGGGCTTGAGTGAGGCCGAAAAGGTTCAGCAGTTTTACCAGCTGCTAACCAGCTCGGTAGATGTGATCAGGCAATTTGCTGAAAAGATTCCCGGCTATTTGGAACTCACTTCCGAGGACCAGGAGCTGCTCTTCCAGTCCGCCTCGCTGGAGCTGTTTGTGCTACGGCTATCCTATCGTGCCCGCAGCGACGATACCAAGATGATCTTCTGCAACGGCACCGTGCTGCATCGTACCCAGTGCCACCGCTCTTTCGGCGACTGGTTAAATGGCATCTTGGAGTTTAGCCGCAGCCTGCAAAATCTAGAGATTGACATCTCGGCCTTCGCCTGCCTCTGCGCACTCACCTTGATCACAGGTTGGTGGATAGCCACCCCATCCTTGACAAGCACATGTCAGCAATATCGTTCCCTCCTTTCATTCACAGAACGCCATGGACTCCGGGAACCCAAAAAGGTGGAGCAACTCCAAATGAAGATAATCGGCAGTCTGCGAGATCATGTCACCTACAATGCGGAGGCTCAAAAGAAACAACATTACTTCAGTCGCCTCTTGGGAAAACTGCCCGAGTTGCGCTCGTTGAGCGTACAGGGATTGCAGCGTATATTCTATCTAAAACTAGAGGACTTGGTGCCAGCACCGGCACTCATTGAGAACATGTTCGTTACCACGTTGCCCTTTTAGGCGCCACAACCTGCTTCCTTTGTGTTTAGCTTTTAATGAGGTAGATACCGTAGTATATAGCATTGCATATTTACCAATCCAGCGTGTACATAGTTCTAAGTGATCTCAATGAACGTGAGATACATAAGGCTACAATAAAAGAAGTGTGTAGAAGTGTAGAATACTAGATTAAATGTAGGCAACAAAACGTTATTTAATCCAATTTCCATCAGTTCATATCTAGTTAGTAACATATATACGTATGATCGACCCACACGTAAGCCTAAGAGCCACCGCACCTTCTGCGTCCTAGCCGCTGCCCTCGTCCATAGGCAAGGGCCTGTTTGGTCCCGTTGTTGGGCACAGGTACAACAACCAGTGGCCAGTGCGTAATGAGAGTTACTCATGAATATTTAAGCACTGATTCAAGTTGAAGCTATTCGTGACTTGTCAGCTACACAGAAAGAAAGGATTCAGAACTTGTTGACGTTAATTGTTAAATTGTTTAATTTCAAACTGTCAAAATCAATGCGCACAGCACGCACATCCACATCCTTACACCCTTGCTCACTGCACTATACACAGACTTTTCCGATTCTGATTCCGATTCCAATTCCAATTCCATTTCCAATTTTGCTTGCGTTCAAGTAAACATCAGAACTCCTTCATGCAGGACCCACTCTCGCCTTTAGCTTACTTCTAGTCAATTGTATTAAGAACCAGATCCACATTAAATAAAGCCTAAGTTATGATTATGAATATATTTATAATTAATTGTAAACAACTAATATATTTCTATTTCCTTGAAGGCTAGATTGGCACTTGTATTTAGATACATGAAAACAGTTCTTAAAATTTGGGTTCTTATCCATTAGTTTTTGGTTCGAGCTTTTATCGCACGACCTGGTGCACAAAGAGAGAGTTTAAGTACCTTTATGTGATTTGTGTCTGACACATACAGAGCTGCACACAAACTCACACAGTAGAGTCTAAGATAATGTTATAGGTATTTGATAAGAGCATAAGTATTTTATAGGCTAGGCTACATATAAGCTATCTAATAATCTTTTAGCTACGATACAGTTCAAGTAAAATCAAAGAAAACATTCGATGATAACAATGTTCTCTCAAAGAATTGAGTTTTACTTTCAATTTCGATTCAAAGGCTTCGATTGTGGTTTTGTGATAAATTTGCGGTAAAATCTACATATATGTCTTTATACTTACGACTTGTATATGATTTATTTTAAACTTCTATTTTGTACCATATACATATACATTTACATATACATATACATATACATATACATACCTATCACATTTTTTGGAATGAAAACCGTATACAAAGAAATCGGCATGATGCAAAATTAGATAGAAGATAATTAATGTTGAGCCTTTAGAGAAATGTTCACTTATGTTTAACAAATATATTCCTCTATGGCTATAAATACAAATATAAATTTAAAGACTAAGTACAATAAATATTTATGCCTAACAAATGAAAAACATATCTCTTCAAGCTTTTGGAGGCACAATACAAAACTTAAGTGTTGTTAACTTATTTTCATAATATGGATAATACCTGAATAACAAAATATCACAATTTATTGTATTTTTATAGCTCATTGTTATTAATTAAATGTTAAACATAAATTCAAAATATTTAAAATATCCACTTAATGTTTAATACCAGGCAATATTTCACAGCCGAAAATATTATATCAGAGTATGTGTGTGTCCAGTAGACAGCCATTTTCTACAATATATATACATAAAATAGGTACATAGCGCACTTGTTTAAACCTACCTATTGAAATCTTAAGCTTAAACTTGAGTAACGGTTAGAAACGGATATTTAAAAAAATGTTAAGGCATCACCAAATTGGTTTGATACTTGGGAAGACAACTTCACAATAAAATTGGTTTGTAACTTGGGTAGACCAATTTGTTTGAATTAGAGTTTAAACTACAAAAAAGTTGCCATTGTCTAGCCTTTACATATCATAAAGAACCATAGCAGTAAAGCAAATCATAATCCATTTAACATTTTTACATATTAGAGAATTAGTCGTTGACATAGTAAACAATTAACCTTAAGTCCAATGTAGTTATATACATGTGTAAATACAAACCTACTTTGTACCTTCGAAATAGTATATATATTGATATGCATATACATCTATACTCTTACATAAACATACACATATATATATATAAATCAAATATAAATTTGAGGACATATAGATATTTTGAATAGAGAACTTTTACAAAGAACTTCTAGATTTTCATGAAATGGACATTTTGTTATCAGATGTTCTTTTGTAATTTTATATGTAAGTACGTAAAAGAATCGCAATGTCAAGTATAAACATTTTGGGTACGCATATTTTTGAGAAATTAATAATACTTTTCACAACTTTTCAATATTTTCATATATGTACACAATTTGTCTATTAAAGGCTTAGTTTTAATATATACATAGATAAGTATATTTTATTATCCACTTTCCTATCAGATAAGAATAGTTAAGAGCCCATGAAGCTTTATGAATGGCAAGAAATTGAATTTTTTAGCAATAATCTGAATAAAATGAAATATACATTTAAAGCAAAAGCAAAAAAAAAAGAAACAAAAATATACAATTTAGCCACAAATATCTATATGTATATCTAATGTACGTCATATAGTACGTAAGTGCACAAAAAATGTTAAAGTTGAAGCCCATCAGTAAAGCTATAACTAAAGACAGGATTTATACTTATGTATATATTTATTTACATATACAAATACATACATATAACAACAAGAACAAACAAACAAACCAACAAACAAAAACGTATACAAAAATACACCTAAATGACATATTCATATATGTATATATTTATATATATACAAATATATATATTTTTCTCGATTTATATTGTTTTGTTTAACCTTTCATGTACCTTCGAAGAATTACTAAATACAAACCATGTCATTTCGATTAAATAAAGATTTAAGTATTAACCTACTCTTATTTTCTATATGACTTTTGAGAAAAGTTAGTTCTATATATACATACAATATAAACTGTAACTGATTTCAAATAAACCTGTTTACTTATTTCCTGTGTGTTAACCAATTGAGCTTTGTGTGTTGGGTGTAGCTAAGTATTTCTTATATTCCAAATATCAAATCTTTAGCTTCAATAAGAGCGAAATCGTTTGAAATCACACGGACAGACAGGCCGACAGCACGAGGGGCATTGCAAAGAATCTGAATATCTATAAATATCACTAGAACTTTATCAGACAATACTACGATCAAAACTTGAGCCTTTTGACTGCTTTCGCTTTTCTCATTTTGAACGATCGCAAAATATGCAAGTTTACAATGTAGTTGAATACAGTAGAGTCTCGATAACTTGTCTCCCGCTAAGTCGAAAATCGCAATAGTTCGTAAAAGCTACTGGCACCTGATAACTCATTAGTCATATCTCATTAATTCGCTCATTTCGAAATAATATTTAATTCTTATAAACTATTCGTAATGCATAGAGAAATATCTTGTCAGCTTATAGTTTTTTCGAAATGTTAAATCGAACTGTAACAATATCAAATGGCAAAACAATTTAGAATAGTTCTATTAACGATCACATCGATTATATACAAAAGTGTTAATTCTATGCAACGCCACAAATAGGCGAAATGCATATCGACTTATTCGGATTTCGACTTATCCGGATTTCACTGTAATTGATTGACAGCCAAGAAATATTTTCAGCACAAAACATATATTGTAGATTTTGTAAACTGAACCATAGTCATTTTATGCGCTTGAGATTGTTCTGCCACCTATGTGTTGTATTCTTAGTTGTTGAATTTATGAGTTATTTATGAAAACTCACCAAAACTCTTCAGTGTTTTAGTTTTTTCAACTTTGTCATTGTGAGTTCAATTTAATTCAAGCAATCAAAACTCACCAAAACTTCTCAATTTTACGCTAGTTTTTCATTTTATGCACTGCGGGTTCAGTGTAATTCGAGCCATGTGAACTCACCAAAGCAGTGCACTGCTTGCTCAACATTTCCATTAAATTACTTTGAGTTCAATGTTTACTATACAATGAAATGTAGTCAATCGGAATCAGAATAAGTATGTATTTTTTCGATCACTGTATCCCCACTCTAGTAAGAAATTATAGTCGATAGTTTGTTAAGCAAATAGAAAAACATTGTCCCTTAGAAGCCCCATCTATGGGCCATATAAATATCTCTTACCCTATGATGTTGTTGAACGTGCGATGTGCCATATTATATCTTAGAAGTTAGGTGCTTTCTATGCATAGATGGCGCTAATCATCGTATGACTTGTAATTTAACAATTGAGCAATTTCACCATTTTTGTTCATAGTTTCGAGAAGGAAAATTGAAATATATTAGCGAATTCTTCCTCAAATATTGGAATCTGAAGAACGGCGATTTCGATTTCAATATAAGACGACTTGGGCAAATATGATGATATGCTTACCTATATACCAACCAAAAAAGTTAAATGAGTTTATGACTATTAAAAATATATGCGCTACACGCCATTGCATTTTATTTTTAAATACATCTTTTTAGGTGATGATTTTTGTTTCTTTTTAAATTATAGTTTGTATTATATTTGTCATCGAATCAAATAGAATACACTTTTTAAAATCGGCTTATACAAAATATAAAAATATTTGACTTATTCATATGTATAGTAAATATAATATTTCAGTCATAGACAGGCATCAATGTGTGCACGTCATGTCGGCAAATAGGACAACGTTCGCCACCGTCCAAGCGGTTCAGTTGCTGGGCGCACTCCTTGCACAGGCAAAGATGTCGGCAGGGAAGTATAACTATGTTCTTGTTCCTTTCCAAACACACCACACAATGTGATCGATGACCAGAAGTATTCGCGGATGATTCAGAAACTTCAAACTTTTTAAACACCCAGGAAATTTGTTGATTAGTCCAGTCTGCCAAACACATTAAGGCCAGGCGCCCTTTCGTTGAGAACTCATTAAGAATGCTTCTTAGCAGATAAAGCGCCAGCAGATGAACATATCTGCGAAACATGTAGATCACAAGAAGCAGGGCAATGCCAATTGAGAGTTGGAAGATGTTATTGAGTAAATAAGTTCCACGCTCAACAACATATCGAGCTAAATGGTCAAGAGCCAGTATAATATAGTCAAATATAACTATAATGGCGCGCGGAAGTAACATAAGTATCCACAGTGTACAATTTCCAAGTCCGATAAGCACATTGCCCAGAAATAGAAGCACTTCCTCTGCCAAGTATCGTGCCAGACTTAGTCCGTCTCCGGTACCATAGTAAATGTATTCCCAAACATTGGCGGCAACGTCCCGTAGGTCGCTATAGATAATGTTGCACTCCTTTACAATAACAATAGCTATTTGGTAACAGTCACATAATACACTCCAGATGTACCCGCCGGCTTCGACGAGACAGTAACCTATGAACCAACTGGCAGCAAGGAAATAGTATATTACATTTACAATGCCCTCAATTGCGGTCGAAATAGGCTGCAGTAGCAAATCATCAATTACATTTCCCACTGCGATTAGTATTGAAAACATAATGTATACAGTAAATACATTGTAAATAAATTAAATCGAAAGAAACAAAACGACAACAATAGCAACGCCACCCCTATCGGCGATGACACAATCGATAGCACATAACATCGTAAGTAAAAATACTATCGTTTATGAACTATCGGTGTGACCTTAAAATGAATATTGATTTCGATACAGTTCAACGGTACACTCGATTTAAAATGATGTTTCATGCAAGAACAATTGAATATGCAATTACTTACTTTTTAATATATTTGCGTACGAAGCCTTTTTGAACAAAAAACACAATTTTACCATTTGCACTTAATATTTATTAAACATTTATAAAACATATATTATATCTATAGAATATTGTAAAGCACTATACATTATATGCTTCTAGTTCAAGCTTTATTATATATTAGGATTGGAAATACCTATATTATTTATCAAACTTATAAGTTCGCTATTTCTTCTCATCACAGCCATCACTTCCAATTGCTGCTGCTTCATAATGCGCAGACGATTGCGTTCCTCAATTTTGGCCAATTGGTTATTGCTATTTATATTTTTGGTATCCGCATCCAGCTTCTGTTCGCATTTGATGTGGTAGAGCTCATCACGAATACTATGCAACCTACGCTCACAGTCGCGCACGTCCTTCTCCAATATCTGAGTCTTCAGGTACACCGTTTGTGCCAGCTTATACCAATCAGCCAGACATTCCGCCATTTGCGCGACGGCAGGACTTACATTTTCCAATAACAATTGCTTGACACGTTTGCCATTGTGATCCACTTTAATTTTCTCCAGCGCATGGAACTGTTCATCGTTGTATGTTAAAGTGCGTGTCGCACGGTCACGCAGCAAATGTTGCCAAGAGTCGCGCAGGCGCTCCACCAAATACTTTGCCTGTGCGCTAGCTCTTGTGCGACAAGGACATTTTTTGCCATGCATCAAGGACGACCATTGATCACTGTAAATTATTAACGTTAGCAGACGTTGACTTTGTCTTAAGCGAATTCAGCTCTATGATTATGCTTACTTTAGCTCATCATCTGTTACAAAATGTTTGTGCATCTGTGTGATAACATCGGCCGCACCATCAAATTCACCTTTCACACCATTCAGAGAACAGAGAAGAGGCTTTAATTCCTGTTCACCCTTCGTCTTTGTAAAATAAATCATATACTGTATAAACTAGATAAATTTACGTTAACTTACCACGCTTGCCATAACATGTACCACATCTGCGTAGTCAACAACTGTGGACAGTAGATTGTCAAAACTCTCTGTTTTTCTATAAAAAAAAATATTAAAAGATTATTTCTTTTTATATCTTGAACACGTTAAATATGGGAATTCCGGGAATAATTGCTTTGGGAAAAATGTATATAATTTATATAACAGGCAGAACATCACGTGGCAGACCCCATAAAGTATATAGACTCGACCGAACAGCACATTCAAGGGAAATCAAATCGAAGAAAAGTGGGAATAAGTACGAAGAAGCAGTTGCGTTTTGAATGCATTTAAGTGCCAAACTGACTGTTTGACTGTTGTAATAAATACAAATATTATATGTATGTATTTTTAAGAAATGATTGGAATGTCTGTTCTTCGACTAATAGGATCAGTCACGACTAAAGCACTTTTAATTGTTTGTCTCAACTTACTTCAATAATAAGCTAATGGTTGTTATTAACATTTCTGTAAATTGCTCAACTGCCTTCTTGATAAGTATATCCATGGTGGTAAAGATGTCCACACGTCTTTTGCATTCATGGCCCACACTGCATGCAGCCTGCAAAAATTAAACTGTTTTATACTGAAAAACAATTGGTGGAATAATGCTCTAACAATATTACCTTTGCAAGACTCGCATCATTTTCTACAGAAACATTGGGCGGAAATACTGGAAATTTGGGCAATTCCAATTGTTGGGGCAGTTGAACATTATTATCATCATTGCTGTAGAGGAAAATAGGGTGTTCCGTTGTTGTTTTAGGAAAGGCTTTCGCTAGAGGGTAAATTTGGTTATTATGATGGAAACTAAAAAAAGGAATTAATTCAAAGGTAAATTACCAATAGTACGTGGTGAGACTTTCTGTTCAATGTGTTCGTTATTGAAGAGCAATATTTGCTTTTCAAGCGGCACCTCAGTTTGCAGGAATATACGCTCTCGGAAGTTATCGATCTGCTCATTGGGCTCTAGGAATACCTCCACTGAGGTAGTGCGATTCGTAAAGAAGACGTGGATGACACGTTTGCGCAAAATTAATGTCACTTCTTGAAAGAATCGATCAAAGGACCACGTTTTATCGCGATTCTCCTCCAACAAACCGGCCAGAAGGGGAGTCACAAGCGTCTTCAATCCTTGTGATAAATGTGCATGTGGGGGCAGTGTTGTTGACCACTCAATTGGTCCATTTTCGGTTAACTGTGTTCCAGATATCACGCCAGAGGCTTTCTTTGTTGTTATCTGATGCATAGTCTCACGGTTCTTGCGACCTCCGTATGGTCTAAAGGGCAAGTTTCCAGTAGCCACATGATACAGCGTCACCCCAATAGACCATAGGTCCACATTGGCGGTAAATGAGCGTTGAATGGACTTTCGGAGCACAGCGCGCTCGTACAGATCGGGATGCAGATATTCCTCAGTGCCATAGAGTGAAGCAAATGGCTGATTATCCTCAAGCTCGCGTGCAGCACCAAAGTCGGTAAGTTTATATATGGTTTGACCATCTTCAGATATAAATTTCATAATATTTCCTGGCTTGAGATCACGATGTACCAGTTTATTGTCACGCAAATGCTTCATGCCAGCGCATAGATGCTCCAGTACCAGGAGAAATTCTTGTTCAGGCAGCCCATATGAGTTCTCCGGATCATCAAGTATATTAAACAGACTTCCACCCGTACATAATTCCATAACAATTACTTTGCCGCGTCCTTCTTGATCCTCCTCAATGGCCAACAATTTGACAATGTTCTCATGGTTCACTTTTTTTAAAGCTTCAAACTCGCGCATCTGTACATCGGCAGGCCTCATGTGACTGTATGGATTGAAAGTTTTCACGGCAACTGATTCTCCAGTAGTCTTATTCACTCCCTGCGAAAATAAATATGAAGGGCGTCACTCTAAAAAAAGAAATCTTTATGTTTTCTACCTGGAACACAGATCCGGTGGCACCTTTCCCTAGTACGCTAGTTGTGCACCAAACATAATTCAGCGAACCACGCAAGAATGACATTTTCAAAATAAACTGATCAAGTAAAATTCTTAAACGAGATTTAATAAAAACAACTCATAAAGAGTCTTGTTATTTAGATGTTGTTGGATCCCGCTGTTATCGATGAATTGATGAAGTTATGTTCGTACAAATCGATAGGTTCCCAACGATACATCAAGTAGTATTTTTTCCTAAATTAAATATTTTTGTGTATTATTCACTCAAAGTATGCATATGTTAAATAAAGTTAATAAGAATAATATTGAAATATTTAAATTTTGCTTGTTTAAGGCTCTTTTAATGTACAAATAATTTATTAATGAAAAACGGTACCCCTTGAGTAGATAATCGATTGCATATATCGGGAAACATCCATCTTTAGTTGTAATTTGTTTTTTTATTTTTACGCTGAGACAACTTTAGCAGCAGTATACTTATTATTATTTGTTAAGACAACACAGTATGACAGTTGCGTGCGAAGCTTATAGGCTTCCCCATTTCGTTAGAGAACGAATGGCAAATATGTATATAAAATAAAATAGTTTTCGCAATAGTGGGCGAGACAATTGGGACATCCTCGCTCATCTGGCATTGCAGAAGGGCTTCTGTTGTAAGATCTTGATAATAAGCATTGCGTGTCTGCGCTGGAATACGATAGAATGAAAATTAGATTACATTTAGTACGTTTTATGTACATAAATCTTATACTAAGGTAAGCAAATTTGTACGTATTCTAACGATTTTTTTCATCACTTTCTACATTTTCACTATATTCTGCAGCTGCTTCTTCTGGCTATATGATAACGCTGCCGCCGCAGAAGCCACCGCGACAAATGCTGCAACAGCGAATGTCAACGAAGGAATGCAGCAGGCAGGCCATGGAACGCCGGGGCCAGTAACGACCGAGGAGGGGTCATTCATCAGCCCCTTGTTAAATGTAAAAAATAATCTAAATGTTCCAACAGAAGAGGCATCGGCAGCCACCACAACTACGACGATGCCCACAGCGCTTAAAACGTCGGCGACTTCGACGTCATCACGTCCAGATGCAGATAATATTGTGATAAAGGTGGGCACCGAGCCAAGTACCGATTCAGAAACTATATACGCCGCGGCAACAGACACGTCAGTGAATATGAATGTACTGCCGTCTGATGTAAATTTCAATAATAAGAACAAATATTTTAGTGTAGTGCCTAACAGTGAAAAGAGTAATGATGGTGAAAATGAAGTGACCGCTAATGTGCCAAATAATCAATTAAATAAAAAAATTAATAATAATATGTATATAAATAATAATGTAGATGTAAATCAACTAGATAAAGCACATCAAACGAATTTAGTTGACGGTGCAGTAAGACCCATTTCAACTATGGAACAACAACAACAACAACAACAACAGCAACAACAACTAGAACAGCAACAAGAAAAACAAGGGCAGCAGAAACAGAGGTACGTTTGGAATTTTCATTATTTTATAAGCAGCATGGCACCACACGTACTTATTTACGTATTTATTTAAGTGCATTTTACTAGCTACGTAATTTCAATTATCAATATAACGTGATGTACCGCTATTTTTCTGCGTGAACGTGAAACAAGTACGAAAGCTCTAGTTGGGAGAGCCCAACTAGAAGATATCCAGAACCCCGACCGATAGCTTGTATCTAGCATAAGCTTATAAAAATGTTGCAAAAAACAATTAGTAGCAGCGATAGAGGAAAAAGCGCACACTTGTCGCTGCTTTTCTGAATTAGCCAAACATTTTATTTAATAACTTCTGTGTCACTTATCGGATTTTATTTAAATTTTCAGTATATGATCTGTGTATTCTATTGAATAGTTAGTAAAAGTACTAACTCTGTTACATACATGCTATATGTGCAACTAAACTAAATTTAGGTTTATGTTCTGAGATCCTGATCCTGAGGTCCTGAATAAAGAATATATATATATATATATATATATATATATATATATATATATATATATATAAATATTGGATCTTCCGTCTCCTTTTGTCTGTTATATACATTTTTACAAAACTATTACACTGACAATATCGTCCAATATCCTATTTTTTATTATCTATATCAGAATTAATACAGATAATAATTTTTAATTTATATATATATATATTTGATCTTCCTCGAGCGATCTGCATACATGTACTGCACACAAATACAACGCGTAAGACTGTTCTTTGCGCGACTTCCCACGCAGAAGATACCTTGATTTATGCAATGACCTGATATTCCAATAATTTCTTCTTCAACGCTTCTATTGAAACGCATATGAAATCCAACATACTGTTGCTTACTGAGCAATTTGTGCATTGATTGCGCTTGGGCTGCAGGATGGGCTTCTCTATGGGAACTTCATGGTTGAATAACTCTTCATAATTACAATTTTCGAGTATGATAACATTCATTTGTGTTTTGCTGCTAAACTCCTGGGTTCTAGTATTTGAAATACATTTTTTGCGAATTTGAGTGTAAGAGTAACAGGTATCCCCAATTCGAAATATATAAAAAAACAAAATGTGTTTTAATCACATAAAACCAACCGCAAATAGGATGTTTCCACCATTTATTTTTGTTATTGAGGCTACGCTTCAAAATAATATCAAAGTATCGATTTTTATCAATAATAAAGAAATGAAATGATCTATCGAAAAATTATAAACCGGTCCTTAGCGTGGTTTAACAGCTTAATTCCTATTTCGGAAATCGACATTAAAATAGCAGCTGGCAGTTTAATTGCAGTTGTGAATTGAATTGAAAAGAATGCCCGCAAGGGAATGTGTGTGTTCTCATGTATAAAGAAAATGCGAAAATACGTAACTTAGCAGATTTCAATTGCATTTCGACATATATTTAACATATTCTATTGAATAGGTCGCAATTTAGTGACTATTCACACGTTTGCCGATATTGGCTATGTGCCAAAACTACTTCAGATATACATGAATCTAAGTACAAAATTAAAAACTCTAAATAGCGAGTAGCCTTATATACAATATTCGTCTTACATAACTAAAGAAATTCCCATTTCTCATAGGCAAAACGTTAGCAAAAAACGCCCACGCAAAGCCTTGTCACAATGCGTTTTACTGGTAATTTGCTTTACAGTTTTCAATTTATTTTCCTTAGCTCTTAAACGGCGGCGTGTGAGCGGCGACTTTCTAAATGCCTTGGCTGTCGCCGGTTGGTCTATCCAACTGTCTGGACTATCTATTGGTGGCCAATTCATTCAAAAACATACTGCGTCGGGCGACATTACTTTTTCTATACCCTGAACTTATTCGAAATAGAAATTTGGGTATAATGGGTTTGTTAAAATGTATGTAACAAACAGAGAAAAGGCCGGCAGATACAATAAAGTATATATATTCTTGATCAAGATGACGAACTAGCCCTATCCATGCATAAACTCGACGATTTCAGAACCTCTAAGAACTAATCTGTTGAGCTTCTCAGCTGCTACTTTAGTTTTAAGTGGGATGCTCATCATATAAGCAAAGAATTGGCAAGGTTGGTGGAAGTGGGGCTTGTGTTTGGGGAAATTTAGGCTCAAGCGTTGGTCAAGGCGGCGTTTACTATTTTTCAGTGACAAACATTTTATAGAATTTTTAAGATGCGAGCTCGCTTAATTAATCAATATCTATGTGTGTGCGTGTAGAAGTACTTGTGTTTTGTTCACCCATGCGTAGACACAGGCTGTGGTGTACGTTTGAAAACGCAGATTGTTCGTGGTGCAGGGTATCTCTGAGACACCCCCGATGACAGCTTCTTTCTTTCTTGTTGTTTATACCCTGAATACATCAATTTGGTTATTATTTATGAGACGACGAGACGCAGTTGGAGTTAACGCCAACGCCAATGCCGATTAAAAATCCGTACGATCTATTTAAGGCTTAGGTTAAGCTAAAAATGACTTCAGTAAAAGTGTTAAATGGGATCAAATTAAAAGATTTCGATCGATTTACCTGCCATATATTGGCTAATAATGTCTTAGGTAAAGGTTAATATTTTAATTTTAGTTTTCGTTATTGTAATTTGTGTATCAAATACCCAGAATTTGACTCAACCAATTATCAAGCATTTGTAGTATTCCAATTTTCTTGCAAGCATTTCACACCTGACAGGTGATCGCAGCTTCGATTATTGTAACTTTCACTTTCAGCGCATGTGTAAGGACTCGGCGAATAAGTTTCGCAGCTTAAGCTTTCGAAAATGCATCATGATCTTGTTACTGTGATCAACAGTTGGAAAAAAGTTATAATCTCGTACAACATGATATCGCTATCAGACTAACGACGATCGCTATCATCAGACTTAATGGAAGCGATAGTTGCCTATGCAAATGTTTATGCCAGCTTGTATGTGGGAGATTATGCTGCTACAACAATAAAGCGACACAGATCGTCTCGCCTTTATCAATGTCTTTATATTTAATTGATGCAGCGTGCGCACATTGACTTGTTTAATCAATTTGATCACTGATCACCAAACGGTGATCGTCGATCACTGATCTCGTGTAGCTGAATCGATTAGCCTGTTGAGCAGATCGGCATAGCAAATTATGGTCTTTGGTCGTACACCTTCACTTTGTTTTGTATTCGCATTCCTACTGCATTTTTCGTGAGCTTTTTATGTGACGTAGGAGCGGAGCCCGTCCACTAAAAATCCGGTTTGGTTTTCTTATTGCTTTTTCTCTCTTTATTTTTTATTTTGCCGGCATTTTTCCACTATTTAATTTCTGTCTATCAGCAAAACGCAATACGGTGTCGTAGGCGTTGCATTTTACTTTGGAGAATGGGCAATTTTTTTATTGTGTCTACCCTGTACACGTTAAAAAAATGAAGGTGTATTGATGTACATAAAGTTAAAAACAATTTGAATATATTCAAGACGGCCAGTTCAGCAGTTTCTTGATAAACAATCCAATGAGAGTATATGAATCAGTATATGGAGTTCCCTTAAGTGGATCGCCTTAAAATAAAAGCTTAAGCTAAAAGCTTGAATAAATACTATCTACAGCCTATCGCTTCAATAACAGTGAACATAATAGTTTACCAAGTGTGGAAAATATCGCTCAAACCTTTATAAGTTACATTTAAAAAAATGATATATAAAAATTTTACCCTTGATCTTATCGTCTTTTAGATGCAAATAAATTGGTTTGTAAACAAGAATGAAGATTTTTTTGATCAAATGCTTATAAGTATTCCTAGTCAGTTATACAACTGGCTATGGAAATCATTTTGCTCAATTGTTTATGAACAATAAACTGAGCATTTGAACAAAATCTCAGTCTTTAATTTAATTTTTATTGTACGCACAATTATTAATACACTCAAATGAAAGTGAGGATTGTCCAGTGACTTGTTTTAATAAAAATATCAAAATATTTGTTCCCATCGCTTCTACTAACAGACTTTACATGCATCTCTCGAATGAAGCAGTTAGCACCTCGTATTTGTATTACAGTTATGTGGTTTTTTGCATTGTGTAAGAGATGTGACATCAAAAGACTTTCTTATTACAAGTGTTTAATTTTCAAGTGACGGTGGGGGAACGGAACGGAACGAAAAACGGTAGATACAAAGAGCATCAGTTGGAAAATCAATTGTCACTTTCTGGCCGCGGTAACCTTTATCTATTTGTGGAAAAGCGCACGAAGCACTAAAGGAGCAGTTGATGTCGATGTCGATGTCGAATATCGAATGCTTAGTGTGCAAAAGTAACAAAAACAAAGAGGATCATCAAAGGCGTTCGCTGTTTAGCGGCGGCCACTAATCTCTGCAGCAGCACAGACTGGTTAGATGTTGTTGGATGTTGTATGTTAAAGGCAAATTGCCAAACGGTTTTTATGGGCTTCGCTGCATTTGCGTGAAGATTATGGCTTATCGCCTTTGCCGAAGGTTGTTTGGTGTCTGCAGATTTATGAGTGACAATTTCACTTTCCGTTGCTATTCCAATCAACCACTTTATTCATTTCTTAAATTGTTTATTTCTACTCTTTGTACATAAAACTGCAAGTAACAACACAAAACTTAAAAGAAAACAATTATACAGAGTATACATATATATAGTCGACGTAAGTGTTATTACTAATTAGGAATCCTTAGATAAAACGTCTTAGGTAAATCGTTAATGTAATAATTTTTATAAAGATAACTAACAAATCTTGATACGAGGTATTTTCCAAACGTTCTCTCCTCACTGTAGCACTCATATTTGTTATGTTAGGCTATGCTTGTGTATAGGAATATATCACTTGTGAATAGTTTTATTGGCTGTGCTTGTATTCCTGGAGCTCAACTGCTGCACTGGGCAAAGGCGGCGGAAACGGATTAGCCCCCGCAATAAATCCAAAGGGGCAGACTTGAGTTGGCTGAGTTGCATTCTTATACAGCCTATATATTTGGTGTACATAAAATAGTGTCG